ATTAAGACAAATATAGTCAAATGCCAAGGAAGTCTTCTAGACTAAAATAAGCGAAAAATTGTTAAGCTCAAATGTTCAGCATAGAAATGATGCTTGGTGTGGGAAATTCAATTTGAAGATTGGGATATCATTAGGGAGAAAATATATTCTTCAAATATTCAGCGCTTTACACTCAAAGTGCTATTCATTATTGATACACTTTCCAGATTCTATAGATCTTTTAAATGCGAACTTGAGGCATAAGGAGTTCCAAAGTCTAATGCCAATTCCGAAATATCAAGCTGTGGGCGACATGCATGCAATGGACTTAAGAAATAATTTTCAAAGGAATCTACTCAGAAGCTCGATTTAGAAGACAAAAATGCGAGCAAATCAAAACAACAGGCAGTTATTAACGAGAGGTCTAAAAAGTATAATCACAGCAAGTCAAACTCAAACAGATCAAGCAAACAAAGTGCGAATACAACAAAGAATTCAGCAAATCTGAAGAAAGACGAAAGATTTATTCGCAGTTACAACTCTAGGAACAACGGTAGCTAATTTTTAGTATAATCAATTCTGTGGCAGATTTTGCATATGTGACTACATAGGAAAGAGCCCGCCAATCTCGAAAAATCATTTCCAATATTTCAAATTATATAAACCAAATAACTCGCTTATTATGCAGGCCTCTAATTGGGATTATAACTCGGCCTCGCAAATGTTTCTTTATGTAGAGGCGCAATATATATATAACCAACATTTTTCGCGAAAATACACAGTTCTTAACTTTCAAAACTAATCAACTATAGTTGATCTTCTAATCGAATTGTCTACTCATGTCTTCTGTTTTATAATTCTTCTAGATAAAGTGCAAAACGACACTTATTAACTTGATTCATTGAATAGATAGAGTCAATGATGAAGCCTGGAAGAAAGTTACAACAGTTTGCAATAAATTACATGCCTTAAGTCTCTAGCTATTCACAGAGGTAAGCTAGTGCGTCGTCCGCTACATAAAAGAGACTAATTAAATGGCTTATGCTAATTTTAAAACAGTGTGAAAAACTTCCATAAAATATAGTTCTGATTTGCGAAATTGGCTTTCTGATGTCATCTTTAAACTAAAATAAAGTAGATGGACGTTTGGCTTAAAAAGCGTATAAAATGGACACGTTTAGAGTGTGGGTATGGTTCTTGAACATGGCCCGTGCAATGTTTTGCCATAGATAAGTAGTGTATATTACTAATTTTTCGCAACCTGCCACACTAGCTGCTAAACAATTCTTTAAGACTAAGGGTAAAATGCATACGCATCGGTTGAATATTTAAGCGATTGAATAAAATGTATAACTTGGCGACTAAATTATGTTTTACTGATTACAGAAGCTTAGCATTTTGATCAGTGACTTACTGGATGCCAACTTTATAATATGCGGATGTGTTGCATAAAATGTGTGAATATAATGGGCCTCTGTAACTTTCAAAGCACACTATTTCAGTCGTCCACTTTATTCAATTACTTTGTGCATTGGTCTAGAGTGAATGAGCAATACAAAGAACGAGAAAAATTCATTCGAAAACTAAATACATACCAGGTAGTATTCTTGCAAATTCTTCATAAGCAACTTCCAATTTTGAAATCGTGTGTTGGCGTTTTGACCATTCAGGCGTTGTTGAATCTCGTTCCAGTCGTATTTTGCTCTACGTTATAGTAAGTAGAAGGTAAAAATCATTCGTAGCTTCAAGTATATAGAATAAATCGCCAGAAATCAAAACCAATCCTAAATACAAACTTCTCAACTCTTTAAACTAATTTCTACTTCGAACAAAAAGGCTGTTGTACAAATTTTTGATAAACGGAAACGTTATTTAGCAGAAGCGTGAAAACCTCAGGGTCTCGATGAGATTCGATACCACAGAAGTAAATGTAACGCTTAAGAATGGCCAACGAGGTGAACATCTGCGTTACAGAGCCCCGCTAGTAACTGTAATATAATTCAAATTTGAATCAAGTACTACACTTTGGGGTTCCCGAACGCGTCTGAAAGCACGCATAAAGCATAAGCGACGGCGGGGCTCGAGCAAGGTTCAAGACCGCCGATTTTTGCATAATTGCGTCAAATGAAGTATTTATATCTATCAAAATTCTGTAATTTTAAATACCAGTGTGCTAGTATAACATGTATAAGAAACACATGAAAATCTGCTATGGAGAATCATGCAGTTAAAAATCGAAAAGTAGAACCATTCTTTTCAGTTTCGAAGAAAACCAGAAACTTACATATCACAGAACACATTATTAAGGAAGATGCCATCGGTTAGGTCTCTTGGGAGTATAGTGCGGGATTTCCTCCAAAACATTTTGCACCATATCCCCACATCAGATGCAAGAAAGTTTTCCATGTGCTGCGAAAAAAATCATCCAGTTAAAGATAAGTCTAATAACACCGAGCGAATTATTCATTGGATATTGATTATGAATATTTCTAGATAAGTTGAGATCAATATGCATAAAATGAGACAACGAAGAAAATAGAGTACAGAGAGCTGTACGTCAATGACAGAAAATGCAAACAAAAATAATTCTCGGAGAAAATAATGCCTCAAACATTGTTGAGCCTATTCCGATAAACAATGCAGCAGATTTTGAAGATAAAACAAAAACTGCAATGAGTGAAACACATGCGTACCATCTTAAGTGAAGTAAATGTGGAGCGCTGCGCGCAGTAGAACCAATGTGTAAACTGTGTGCACGATAAACATACAAACAGTGGCATTATACAGCTCCTTTAGACAACTACACTGCTTTAAAAATGATGTCAACTATATTTGGTACGAATAAAATATGTACAAGTGAGCAAAAATAGGAAACTATAACTGCCTAATCACAAGCCAGTGGAGCATACACTATATATGGTAACTTCTCTGTTAATGAAGACGCATGTATTAAACTGAATTGATAAGGACCTTATGTTTAAAGTACGAAGCATATGATGTTGTTTTGTGTGTAAGATAAGACTGACCATTTATTGACTGGACAAAATTCCTTGTAGCCATCAAACGGTTTTGAAAAGTGACATTTTATGCAGCCATCGCGTATTTAAATTATGTTTTCATATGAAGTTATCTATCAGACGGCGAACAAGCTGCAAAGCGGTTGCACAGACCTTGAATTTAACATTTTCTAATAGAGTCGTCCTACATGTGATTTTTCATTTCCCAAAGGGCGATTCTAGTTTTATCGAGAAAAGTTAATAAACGTCACTCTCTGGGCCTTACTAACGAACAGTCATCACGATGAATTATTATCCACTGTCTCTAAAAATCGGCTAGCGTCATATATTCAAAATAATGGCTCAGTTTGGTATTGTTTGATGTTCGCGAGAATTGCAGACCTGCACCATTTCGAACATCTTTAAAATTTGTTTGAATATCACCTTCTAGGAAGGAGGATTATTAATAGTCTTTTATTTTATCTCGCATAAGACTGGAAAACGCGTACATATGAGACTGTTACTTATAATTACAAGTAGAGCCTCGCGGGGCTAGAAAACACTGAGCGAGGCTACCCTTGAAACACATGGCCCCGCCTTGAAGGCGGGGCTCAGAAGGGGCCAGGAGGGGATGGCCCCGTCAGAATTTAA